GTCCCCGCGTGGCCCTGTCTGTCTGTCCGTCTGTCCGCGCCCAGGCCTCGCCCCACCCCGGCCCTAGAGCTGCCCGTCTGCCCCCCTACCCGCCGCAGCAGACCCCCTCTTTCTGGGCCAGTTCCCTCTGCAGGCCACGAATCCAGCCGCGCCGCTGCTGTCCCAAACCCTGGGCCGGCACCCCGACATCGGGGGGGTGCGCTTGCAGCCGGATCGGATCCAGAGATTCTGCAACCCCCGAGCGTGGGACCCTGATCTGAGATCAGCACCCTGAGATCCTGCCATGGAACCCTAAGATCTGGACCTTGAACCTCAATATCTGAGGCTGGAATCCCGACATCTGTCCCTGGTACCCCAAGATTTGGAAACTGAACCCCATGGTTTTGGAACATGGACCCCAAAATTTGGAGCTGGAACCCCAAGATTTGGCATCTAAGCCCCCCAATTTGGAGCTGAACTCTGAATTGTCTGGCTGATATCTTGACATCTGGGAGCGAATTCCCAAACCTATACCAGGGACCCCACTATTTTAGGAACTAAACCCTGGGATTTAGGCCTTCAATTCCAAGATCTGAACCATGGAATTCCGAGGGGCCTGAAGTCCTTGCTGCAGACCTGAGTGCTGAAATTGGGGCTAGAGACCTCCAAATCTTGACTCAGCACCCTAGTATCTGAGCAGCATCCCAATATCGGATTCTAGGACTGGACTTGAAACTCAGACCCTAAACTTCCCCATCTGGCTGTTTGGTACCTCAAGCCTGGCGCTGAGACAGCCTGGTCCTGAACAGCCGCTGGAGGCTTGGTCTCTAAAACTGGACCCTAGAGGCCCGATTTTAGTGGCACAGGACCCCGAGAGTCAAGTTTGGAGACTCCATAACCACGGATTTGAGCTGAGACAGGACAGTGCCTCCACAGAGCTCTGGAGGCAGGAGAGGCTTAACCAGATGCCCCCTCCGGAGTTCTGACCTCTCACCCCCCTGGAGCCTGAGGACTCTGCTCCTTGGGGTGGCTTCCAGCTCAGGTAAGCCTCTGAGAGCCGATCATGGTGGAAGGGACTTGGGGTGGGGTTGCTTGGGTTACAGGTGGACGTAGGTGAGGACTAGGTGACCGGTGGCATTTTTAGGGGTTTTCCTTGGAAAAAGTCTGTCCATGAGTGTGTGTGTGTCTCCAGTACTCTCTGGACACACGGCCAGCTCTGCCCCTCTGACCTCCTTGGCCAGCCGATGGCATGTCAGATCTCTGATGCCACCACCCTTCTGGCTTCTCACCGTCTGACCATCCAGCATCCTCTGGCCCGCATCTGCCCTCTCTGGTCCCCTCTCCACCTCTCCTCTCGGTGACCAGCGTTGACACACCTGCCCAGAGCCCTTTTCTCCAGCCACCCTGCCCACAGCTTCTCTGCACTTCTGACAGACACTATTTGTCTCTCTGGTCATTGGCTTTCTCGCCCTTTGCCCATCTCTGGCTGCCAGGCTGGGTCTGTGGCCATCACGAGCCATATCTGACCCTTCCCCAGCTACCCCGTCCTTCTCTCCTGCCAGCTTCATCTGTCTATCTTCCCCCTACCCCGACCCTAACTCCTGGTCTACCCACATCTGGCCATCTCTGACCGTTTCCACCTTGGCTGCCTTTCTCCCGGCCCTTCTCTCCATGTCCGTCTCTCTGTCCCTTACTGATTCTGCCCTGTCTGTCCTTTCTCCTCTCTCCGGTTTTCTCACTGGCTTTTGACCAGGTCAGAACTCTTTTGTCTCTCTGTCCAGCCCTAGAGCCTCCAGCCTGTCTTTGCTCACCTTTCCTCTTTGGTCAGGCCTGACCTCTTCTGAGTATCCTTGCCACCTCCCACCTCTTCCCTGTGGCTTACCTTCTCTCCACCTTGCCCAGCTGTTCTATTCTCTGCCCACCTGTGCCCATCGCCAACCAGCTTTCTGACCATCATTGCTCATTCTTGACCCTCTGTGCCTTCATGACACATCTCTGATCCCTCCTTCCTCGGATCGTCCCGGATCGCCCCACCCCCTCGATAGCTGCCCCGCGGGCCCCGGCCAGCCCTCACGTCTCCCTTCTTTTCTACAGGCCACCCCTGCCCGCGATGGCCGTCCTCCCACTGCTCCTCTGCCTGCTACCGCTGGCCCCTGCCTCATCGCCACCCCAGCCGGCCACATCCAGCCCCTGTCCCCGCCGCTGTCGCTGCCAGACCCAGTCGCTGCCCCTAAGTGTGTTGTGCCCAGGGGCGGGCCTCCTGTTCGTGCCGCCCTCACTGGATCGCCGAGCGGCAGAGCTGCGCCTGGCAGACAACTTCATCGCGGCAGTGCGTCGCCGTGACCTGGCCAACATGACAGGCCTGCTGCATCTGAGCCTGTCTAGAAACACCATCCGCCACGTGGCAGCTGGCGCCTTCGCCGACCTCCGTGCCCTGCGTGCCCTGCACCTAGACGGCAATAGACTGACCTCGCTGGGCGAGGGTCAGCTGCGTGGCCTAGTCAACTTGCGCCACCTCATCTTGAGCAACAACCAGCTGGCAGCCCTGGCAGCTGGTGCCCTGGACGACTGTGCGGAGACCCTGGAGGACCTCGACCTCTCCTATAATAACCTTGAGCAGCTGCCCTGGGAGGCTTTGGGTCGCCTGGGCAACGTCAACACGTTGGGCCTTGACCACAACTTGCTGGCTTCGGTGCCTGCCGGAGCCTTTTCCCGCCTGCACAAACTGGCACGGCTGGACATGACCTCCAACCGCCTGACTACCATCCCACCCGACCCTCTCTTCTCCCGCCTGCCGCTGCTTGCCCGGCCCCGAGGCTCGCCGGCCTCCGCCCTGGTGCTGGCCTTTGGGGGAAACCCTCTCCATTGCAACTGTGAGCTGGTATGGCTGCGCCGCCTGGCTCGGGAAGACGACCTCGAGGCCTGTGCCTCGCCACCGGCTCTAGGGGGCCGCTACTTCTGGGCTGTGGGCGAGGAGGAGTTTGTGTGTGAGCCGCCAGTGGTGACCCACCGCTCACCTCCCCTGGCAGTGCCTGCTGGTCGGCCAGCTGCCCTGCGATGTCGGGCGGTAGGCGACCCAGAGCCACGAGTGCGTTGGGTGTCACCCCAGGGTCGGCTGCTGGGCAACTCCAGCCGCGCTCGTGCCTTCCCTAATGGGACTCTGGAGTTACTGGTCACTGAGCCGGGAGACGGTGGCGTCTTCACCTGCATCGCAGCCAACGCCGCTGGGGAGGCCACCGCTGCGGTTGAGCTGACCGTGGGCCCCCCTCCACCTCCCCAGCTAGCCAACAGCACCAGCTGTGACCCCCCGCGGGACGGGGATCCTGATGCCCTCACCCCGCCCTCTGCTGCCTCAGCCTCCGCCAAAGTGGCGGACACGGTGGCCCCCACTGACCGTGGCGTCCAGGTGACTGAGCATGGGGCCACAGCTGCCCTTGTCCAGTGGCCAGACCAGAGGCCTGTCCCGGGCATCCGCATGTACCAGATCCAGTACAACAGCTCTGCAGACGACATCCTTGTCTACAGGTGCGGGGGCCTGGCAGTGGGCGAGTGGGGGGGGGGCATAGTGAGTCCACCCAGGAGCATCCCGTAGTGAGCCACGGCAGAGAAATAATGCTGCGGGTTGCTAAGGAAATCAGAAAGTGAAGGCAAACAAAATCAGGCAGCAAAGATGACCAGAGCTGGGCAGGAAGGGTAAGAGAAAGGACAGATGTGGTGAAGGGGAGTGAGACAAAAGTGACCAGAGAGCAAGCTAACACTCAATCAATGACAAAAAAAAAAAAAAAAAATCAGGCTGCAGAGATAGAAAGAAATAAGGCAGTGAAAACAGCGAAATCAGGCAGCGAGGAAAAAAATCAGGCCA